AGGTCTTCTTGTTTATGAAATGGAGCCGAAGGGAGAGAGAAAGCCGTCCCGACCAGCAGTAGACCCGAGCTGGCCACAGCCCGACCCCGGCGCGGCGCCTTGTCCCCGCCCACCGGACCCACCGTCGAGCCGGAGCGGGACCTGTGGGCGCTGCCGCGGCCCCACCTCGCCCGCCTTCGCCCCCCCCGCCTCAGCCCCGCCTCCCGCCCCCCCCCCCCCCCCCCCCCCACTCCCCGCCTTCCCGCCCCCTCGCCTCCCGCCCCCGCCTCCTTCCCCCGCCTCCCTCCCACCCCGTCCCCGCCCCCGCCTCCTGCCCCCGCCCCCCACTCGCCTCCGCACCGCCTCACCTCCCGCGCCTCCGCCCCCGCCTCCGCCCCGCCTCCGCTCAAGCCTCCTCCCCCCAACCTCCTTCCGCCTCCCGCCCCCGCCTCCGCTCACGCCTCCTCCCCACCTCCTCCCCGCCTCCGCCCCCGTCTTCCCGCTCACGCCTCCTCCCCCCTCCTCCCCGCCTCCGCCCCCGGCCTCCGCCTCACGCCTCCTCCCCCACCTCCTTCCCCCGCCTCCGGCCCCCCATATCCGCCTCGCTCACGCCTCCCCCCCCTCCCCCCTTGCCTCCCGCCCCCCGTTCCCAGTCCCCCGCGCTCCGCCCCACCGCCTCCGCTCAACGCCTCCTCCCCACCTCCATCCCCGGCCTTCCGACCCAGATGGTAAATAGCGGTATAGTCGAATAAAATGGGGGAGAGGAACTCAACAATTTATTATGGGCGGTGAATCAATTCATTACTGGCGAGGTGTGCATTTTCAACACTTTGGCGCAGTCATTAGGGGCCTTACAAAGGGTCAGGTGCTCATTTAGGACATAGCGGTAACTTCTAAGACAAACACAACTGGAAGCGAGATTGAGCATTGATGTTGGGTAGAGATGCCGAATGGCATTAAATGACACCCCACCGAGAACAACATGGAAAATTCTGGGTCAGTCAGAAAGGAATACAACTTCGAAATCTTTCAGCAATTGAAATAGTTGCAAATTATAATTCGATACCGACGATTACGATGAATACGATAATACAATATCTCACGAGGAACTTATTACTGTTTTCAATAAAACTCTTGAAATAAAGTGGAAATTCTTGCGTCTTATCGACTCTGTTACAAATTTGCAAAGCCTTTAATATACACAAATTCACTATCAAAATGGTGTAATTTAACAATCGATATTTAACAAAGTTACTCATTTAAAAAATAATTTGAAACATGAGATACCATCCATAATGCATTTATATTGAAAAAACGAGGAATGCAGTAATGTCAAGATTTAATATTTTTTATTGGCTCATCAAAAATTAGATGCGTAGTTATTAAAACTACAAGAAGCTAAGAGTTAATTAATAAAACAATTATTTTAGTTTCATTATTATATGGTCACTGTTTTAGATCATTCGACTTAATTAAGCTTTCCCAGACAACTAATTTTGCGTTGCAATTATGCGGCCGTAAGGTTTTTGCAGGAAAGGTAGTTCCTAGCAAAATCGTTTTCTCCAGACCTACCACCACAAACAATTTATTTCCAGAACTGCTGTGTAAACTTTTGTGAACATGGTCTTGGTGTCGCCCAGACTTTCATCTACAAATTTACTTAACAGGGGCCTGTCGTGTTACATCTTGCTATAGCGAGCGCCCCGCGCAATTACTGGCGTGCGTAGCGAGAGCTCTAATTTCACTGCGCATGTGAACGGTGCACCTCGCAAAGTCAATAATGTGCGCGAAGGATGAAGAGGTTTCCGGTTCTCGTACGGCTTGCTACCACGACGCTTCAATAGTGCTAACCTTGGGATGGGTTCTGTCGCTTTAATCATTCAGATGATCCGCGGTTTCCGATAGATTATAAACAATAATCAGCTTAGCATGCATCTTGCAGCTTTAGCTTTGTTTCAGTGAACAAACTTTAAACTTTTCTTTAATAGTGATATTGTATCATTTAAATTGGATCGTTTAAAACTCCATGATCTTAGATTTAACATATTGAGGAAATGTTCTGAGAATTATTTGAAACTCGGGACAGCTAAATTGCTAAACAGTTCCATTAAAATTGGGATACAAAAACAAAATCTAAAAAATAAAATATGTTAATATGCGGTGTACTTTATAAAGTCACAGCTGGTCCGCGACCAGAGTCTTTCGAGCTCTTGGCGCAGATCATAGGCATCACAGCTTTCGACGCGGCGTCATTCGAAAGCCAAGAGCACTCGCATTGAGCAAACGTTGAGGCGTAATAGTTTCATTCTGTGCGATGTTTTATGGTGGTGAGAAAAATATCACGTTATGTGGTGAATCTCATAGATTCTCATTTGTAGATGTTTAAAATGCATTAGTTAAAGACATTTTTAATAATAATGATTTTAGAGAAAATTGAATTTGGCTGACTAAAATTATTTCACATCATTTTAAACGTTTACACGACTGACGGTGAATTGCTTATTCCACGTTTTGAAGTCACACGTGTCGATCTCAGATGCTATGTTCTTTATGAAAATATTCAATTTACTCTTTAATAGCATATAATTTATGTAAATATTTAGAGATTAACTAAATGTATCACCTTTACCTCCAAAATTTAAGGTTCTGGTAATTGTGATGATAATAAGCATATATTATCCTTCTTCACGGAATTTAGACAGAACTTACAGTAGACGTTTATATTTAAACGGCTTGAAAAGGCTTGTATTCTTTATGAACTAATATTAAATATAGAACAATGTGCATTTTCTCAGATGTATCTGCTTAGATGAACCCAATATCTGTCAAAAATATTCAACATAATATTCGTTTAAAATGCGTCAAAGGCGATAATATAACTATTTAACCGTGAGTTAAAGCTTTTTCTAATTATCTTCAAAGACATATTTTACCTGATTTTAGCTGCAAAATCCATCATATCGTAGTGTCGTGAGTTCAAGGGAAGAGCTTGCCCTTGGGAAATATTTATTTTGGAATAATTCCAACAATGAACGTTTATTTGTTGCATCGACGGAAAGAAAGCATTCGCTTGAAAATACGATTTTTTAGTTTTAAGGTAACATATTTAAAAAAAGATGATTAAAAAATGTATGGGAGTGCGAAACTGAAACCATTGAGGGCGGCCCTCGCCGACGGGCCGGCGGCTCACGTGCAGACGCGGGGGAAGTGCTTCGTCGGAAGAGGTGGCGTGGTCCCAGCCCCGCAGCATGACGGCACGTTACAGGAGATGCACCCACGACCGCGGCGTTGTTCAGTCGCGGGCTCGACAGCTTGATTACCTTGCAAAAACCATGCAGGAATTTGAGCTCTGGCCGTCAAAGCAGAACTAATTGGCATTTGCTTCTCCCCCTGGACGCTGAACGGGCCATAATGGTAAAGGAACACGATGCAAAACAATTTGAATGCGTGTGTTCACTGAAAGGCAGGGGGCAATGGTGCTTACTTGATCATAGCTCGTTAAAATACTGTATAATTTCATATGTTTAATGAATTAAACTATTAAATGTTAATAGTGTTGTTCGTTGGATAAATGTTTGTACTAATGAATTTGGGGATTTACGTTTCATATTATATTTGATTTCATATCATAATTGAAGAGAAAGTGGAACGAACATTAAAAAAAAGTATATGAATAATTATTTGATTTGAGAGTGCGATTGTTTGATGTCTTGGAAAAATATGAAAAAAAAAAACATACAAAAGAATATCAGATATATAGAAGGCATTCACTGTAGTGTTAAAAAAAATATTCATTACCTTTAACCAAAATAAAACGCATTTTGCTTTCCCTTCTCGTACTATAAGGAACACATTCATTAATTATTTATTTTCTGAAGAAAGAAGATGTTAACGATAACGTACAGGTACATTAATTCAAAGAATAAATGAATTTTTTTGCAGGGGCTATGGCTTGTATTTGTTTTACGTAATGAAAACTGACAACGTAATTGTTTTTAATACACCAGGAACTGGGGTCACACAAATAATTTTCAGAAAAATGCAGTGTGGATAGAACGCTGCTAGCGAGTCAAAAGCCAAATTACTACACAGTGGGGCAGTGTCTCCTTTAAAAGTAACAAGGCCATCTAGAGAGAATCACCACTTGTAACGAAAAGGGACAGTTAGGCGGGCCCCTATAGAGTCACTTCAGCTTAAGGTAAACTTGGAAACAGAATCTACTTGAGAGAGACCGAGATTCAAAGCAGTAGAGAATGTTAGTGTTAAGACATTATACCTTAGTTTTATGTTTTTTTGATCCAATGATTTCATTGGATTGAGATTAATAATAAATAATAATAATAATAATAAGAAGAAGAAAGAAGAGAAGAAGTATGAAGAAGAAGAAGAAGAAGAAGAAGAAGAATATAACCAAGGGAACAATATCAGTTATCAGCTTTTGAGTTCTATTCTTACATGATACGCTGTAATGCACGAGAAACTTCAAGATATAGCATAAACATTGGATTCTCTACTGGGATTGCGATTACATTTTTTGACTGATATTATAGTTGCTCTCTGATTTGAAGTGTTGTAAAACTTGAGACTTATTGTAGTAGACCTGTGTTAGATTGAATGATAAAATTGTATTGTATTAAGAAAAACTCACACAAATTTAGTTTTCCGGCATCCACATATTATTAGTACATAAAATTATAATTATAAGTATAACTCTCACTCTGAATTTACCATAAAACGATTTATTTTCTGCTTTCATTACAAGAGAAACTATAGATGAAAATACTCCTATGCAATGTTTCTGTCTTTATAAAAAATGTTGGAGTCAATACGAACAGAAAGTTTCAAAAGAATTTAGTTTTTCAGAGAAACTTTCTTCATACAAATGTTGAAACGTTAATACAAAAACTACAAAATCACGGGAAAAGGAAGAAAAAAGCAGACAAAATTTAATTTGCCGTAATT